AAGAGCATGCAAAGAAGGCACTATCAATGTTCCTCGAAACGGATGGTAATATTTCTGACAATGAGAGTAAACGGTGTGCGATGAATTAATATGACTAAACGAATTACTGTTATGATGAATGAATGTAATGTAATGTCTCATATGCTTAAACGGCGAAGAGAATATCACCTAAATGAATGCTCATTGAAAATGCTTATTTAACGAGGAACTGATACATAATTCATCTAATTAACCTTCTATCGCCATCTTTATGGCTAAAATATACTTGATTAAAATCAAAATTAGCATCGAAATTGTCTCGTTAGGTCAAGCTATCATCCGGAAAGTGGATTCTGCATGGGTCGAAGCGTTTTTTCACCGATGAAAGAAGCAGAAGAAATGCGTCCAGTGATCAACCGCCATACATCAGCAACACCGTCAGAGGGGATTGGCGGCGACAATCTGGGTGGCTCCCGAGTGACTACGCCATTCGAGGATATCATCCCTCAGTCTCGTATCAGCACCACCTTTGAAGCAAACCAACAACAACAACAGTTCGGTCAGCAACCGACTACGTATCCTCAAACGCGATTCGCTGACGCTCTGTTCTCACCATCTCGATCCAGATCACAGTTTCGTTTCGCTCAGAATTTCTCGAAGATACCTATAGGCCAGAACTATACGTACAATCGGTTGGTGCCAAATTATTCGTATCCGATCCAATGACTCATCAACTAATCCAAACTGACGATTCAGTGCATTATCACTGGAATCTGGAACTTGATCATTAGAACAAGTTTAGTTCAGAACAACACTGCAAAGTCATAAACTCAAATCTGAAAAATCTTTTACGAATCAGAATATCTTTGATAAATACTACAGATACAGTGACAATCGCGATCATCAGCCAACGAAGCGTCGGTCACATACGACCGAGCCAAGAGGCGACAATTTGGTCCAGTCGATCAGCAGGTAAAATCAGCACTGATCCCAAATATCTGCAGTAATAGTCACACATCTCGTTCCTTATGTAACTGTAGACTGACGGTTCGTCTAATGAACACAGTCGCTATCCAGAGTTCTGCTGCGAGCAGATGCACAAAAATTCAACTTCACCAACGATTCAGTGAGATACACAAACACGAAAATATTCAGTTACTCCAGAAACAATGACAGATTCGAAGAGTCGAATTAAAAACTGTTAGAACACTGCTCAGACTTGACCTTTCTCAACAAAGTAAGCACCGTTATTCCGAATGAGCTTCGAAGCAATCCCATGGAGAATATCTGACTAAGCGTTGGAAGCTATTACTACAATAATTGATAAATAGCCTTAATTGTAGTGCTAAACGAAATGTATAAGTGTTAGTTTTTAAGGAAATGGCCACCAGCGAGCAATGCGAGCGGAGTTGAATTCACGAAGGATAACTGGAATGTGGCACCATCAACTACCACTTCATGTAGAAGTAAGCATGAATTCTCATCAGTCCAGTAATAGCGATCAATTATTCAGTGAGATTCAATATCGCTTACAATTGTTCAGATGAATTAGTTCTGGAAGTATCAGCTTTTCGGAGACACACGAATAGAAATCTTAAGATAAAACTTAGAAATCCAGTAAATTGATCACTTCAAATATATACCGAACTTAGAATGAGAATAATTCTTGATGTAGTGGATAAGAACTCATGAAAAGCACAAAGTTCTTGGCTGAAATGTGACGAGAACTGAATGAAATATGATGTGCCATGAGCATTTATCGCTTAAATAACAAACACCTAAATGATGTCCATGTAGAGTTGCAAGATTAGATTGAAAAACC